TATGATTTCACAAATTTTATAATAAATTTTTATTATATTTTTATTGAGAAACCATATATCATCAAACGCTGAAAAATAAAAAACTTTGATTAAATACAAAACGATAGAAACGGTTTTCGTGATTGCTGTTAAACGTCAATAACTGCATCGTGTAAAAACATAACGTTTGCAGAAAATACCAGAAAAAGTTACCAATTCACTCACCAGAAAAAACTTACCAATACTAGAAAATACTGGAAAATGCCTAAATATTACAATTCACTTATTTCTAACTCATACTTACATGGATAAATATACTTATAATTATTATTTTTAAAAAATCAACCATACATTATAAAAATATATATTACAAAACATATATTTTGTTATTTTCTTTTAACACATAAAAGCCATACTTCGATTTTCTTATAAATATACGTGTAGATATAAAAATTAATTATGAAAAAGTCAAACTCGAATGCAAACTTGTCGTGCATAAATTTTGTTAACCTCGATTACACTCTAATTTTAATTTTATTGTTAGATAATTTATATTTTAAAAAAAAATCTTTATTGGTCCTAAAAGCGGTGAGATTCGTGCGTACCAACCATCTACCCGCTCTTAGAATAAATAAATATGGTAGAATTCATTTTGATTTAATTAACAATAGGTCAAGGAAAAATATATACTTAAAATATATATATTGGCAATATTATATTATGTAAAGAGAAAAAGAAAGTATTATATAGATAATATTCAAAACATTTTATAAAAATTTTATTATTATTTAATATAAATTTTACATTTGCAACTATATGTTACTGTAAACGCTAGAAAAAATAAAAAAAAAATTCAAAAGGCAGAAAACGATATAAAATGTTTGTGTGATTGTTGTTGAACACTAAAATTGTATATGTATAAAAATAATTAATATATAAAAAAATTAATCAATACTTAAATATTACAACTAATTATATCTATAAAAAATTATGCTTGCACATACGTGAAGACCAAAAATAAAAATTAAATAAATTACTATATATTTTAATGTTTTCTTATTTATTTAGTTATCATATTTACATTTTATCTAAAAAATATTTTAAAATCTTAGTTAATATTTTTTATCTTTATATTCTATTGAAATATATAATATTTTATATTTAATTTATCGTTGATTTTTTATTATCAAATACATAATTAATTATATACAAATAAAATCTCGTTAATATTATATTAATCATAATTGAACTTGTGCAGGCCGATCACTTTTACAATATGTATATAAATACGTATTATTGTCATATCTCCATTAAAGGGAAATCATTACCGTTGTTTGTTTTAATACATATATATACAACAAATAGAACCAATATTACCGTTGCGATTTGAGAGGGTTAAGGTCAGACCAAGCAAGCCATAGTGTTATTATCGAGCCGATGGTATTGAGGAGGATTTTGTCGTCTAGCAAACACTAGTTTAATATCATGAAAAAAAATAATCTGTTAATACTTCAAACCTATTAAAACTTTATATGGACTGTATTAACGTGAGTCTGTATTTAAATTGTAATATCAAATTTGCTGACCGAATAACACATAAACATATAATCAAATCACAACTGACCGATAGGTTGCCGGTGTATTTTGGCTCCACCACTATCGATCACCTCATGACCGATAATATGATCAATAAGGTCTGTATCGGTCTTGTCTTGACCGATACGGTGATCGATAGTAGCCAAAATGCACTTGTTCTTGTTCCCTTAAACACTTTCTCAAGCCCCAAACCAAATTCCTGCTTCTATAAACATTAATCAAGCATAAAAATAAACTAAAAAGCATAATATATACAAAAGATACCATGAGACTACCTCCCAAGTGTTCTTGTTTAAAGCCACTTAGCTTGACTTTGATTACCTCTCTAGTGGAGGTGAGGAGAAAGAGTCTTGGAACTCCTTGGTGTTGTCTTGGTTCCTTTGACTCTGGTGGAGACTCCATTCAGCTTGATCTTAGCAAAAGGCATAGTCATCCCCTCTTGCTGAATCTTGAAGCAAACCTCTCCCATCTTAGAGCCACATGGTTGCAAAACCACATATCCTTTGTTAGTAACCAGCTTGATTTCATTCATATTTTTATAACCAACCACTTCAAGGACCTCCTTTTCAGTGGTGTCTTCAAACAACTTGGCCAAGCAGCAGCCATCGAAACTCTCTCCTTGGTAGCCCTCAAACTCTGGCCAGTTTTTTTTAATGCCTTTCATCTTGTTAAGGTCCATAGAGAAAACATGATCATGCTCCAACTTGTTGCCTTTGCTGTCAAACCTCAAGACCTTGTTCTTTGTAAGCCTCAGATCTATTGTGCACTCTCTAACATCAAATACAGCGCCAGCTGAAGCAAGAAATGGCCTTCCAAGAATGATATCATTCTTGTTCTGTCCTTCCACATCCAGCACCAAGAAGTCAGTAGGGATGATTACTCCTTCAATCTGCATAGGGACATATTTGAGGGCTCTTAAAGGTATCTTCACAGTCCCATCAGCAATGGTAAGAGAGACATTGCTTTGCTGGAACTTAGTATAGCCTAACTCCTTAGCAGTAGAAGCTGGTAACAGATTGATACTCGCTCCTAGATCACACAAACAGCTCCCGAAGGTCTTGCCTTTAAGCTCACAAGGGAGAGTGAAGCAACCTGGATCTCCAAGCTTCTTGATATTCAGCTCCTTAACTTCAGATGCTCCGGCTTTAGCTTTCAATTTTTCAAGCTCCTGATGACCATTCAGACCTCTCATTTCCATTTGAGCAGCATAGAGGGTTTCATACTTCTTGATCAGCTGTTCCTTGAATCTTCCTGTAAAAGGGATAGTGGGCTGGTAGATAGGGAGAACAGCAGCTTGAGTCTTCTTCTTAATATCAGAGACTTAAACAAAGTCTTCCATTTTAGCATGAGCAACTTCAAGTGGCGCCCACTTCTCTACTTCCTTGTTGGCTCCTTCTTCAAGAGAGTTCTCCTTAGTGGCATAAGCTTCAATAAGCTCCCCCCCCCCCACTCTAAATGTCAATGTCCTCATTGAATAGGGATAGGAAGTCTTCAAATGATAGCTTCTTCTTCAAGAGGAGTAAAGGCAACTGCAGAATCAAGAGATTGGCAGTACTTCTTTGGATTGTTCTCACATTTGCCTGGAAGAGTACCTTGTGGACATGGTGCTGTTGCCACTCCTTTATTGTTCTCTAGAGTCTTTACTCTTGCTGCTAACCCATCGAATTTGTTGTTCAACTCCACATGAACTGAATCAATTTTATTATGAACTTCTACAAACTTATGCTATAATAAATGGCTTAAGTTTTTTTATACTTCAAAAATAATTAAAAATCTAAATCATATTATAAATAATAAAATTCTATACATTATTTGACAAGCACATTTACTAAAAACAGCTGATGTGTCGCTTGCACAACAAAAGTTAGTGCAAAACAATGTCACCTTATAAATGTGACATGGCAAATTTCCTAAAATAAAGGAAATGTTTTGATTGGTCAACTTAAATCTAAATAAATCTCATTTTTAAATAAGAAAAAATAGTTTATATCATATATGAATGAATTCTCATTACATAGCAAAAATTCAAAATAATAAATAAAACAAAAAATAAACAGACAGAAAGATAAATTATAAGTATCATCTTAGCTAACTTTTTTATTATAATATTATATATATGAATAAAAAGTATAAGTAAAAATAAAAATGAATATTTAGGACATTGATTTTATGTAAAAATCAGCCTATATTTTTGGTTTAAAGCATCTCTAACTCACCTTTATTTATTTGTTGAAAAAAAAACTCACCTTTATTTTAAATCTTCTAATTTAGAGAAAAAAAAAGTTGTTATTATTTTAATTTATAATTTCTTCCACAAATTAAGAGTTGTTCTGTATCTATTTGACCTGCTTCATATATTATAAAAAATATATATTACAAAACATATACTTTGTTATTTTCTTTTAACACATAAAAGTCATACTTCGATATTTTTACAAATATGCGTGTAGATATAAATATTAATTGTGCAAAATTAAAACTTGCATGCAAACTTGTCGTGCATACATTTTGTTAACTTTGATTACACTATAATTTTAATTTTAGTTGTTAAATAATTTATATTTTTAAAAAAATTTTATATGTCTTAAGAACGGTGAGGTGATTGGTATGCACGAATGTGCAGGCCAACCATCTACTCGCTCTTAGGATAAATAAATATGGTAAAATTCATTTTACTTTAATTAGAAAAAGGTCAAAGAAAAATGTATACTTAAAATATATATATTGGCAAGATTATATTATGTAAAAAGAAAAGAAAGTATTATATAGATAATATTCAAAACATATTATAAGAATTTAATTATTATCTAATATAAATTTTATATTTGCAATTATATGTTACTGTAAATGCTAGAAAACATAAAAAAATTTCAAAAGACACAAAAAGATATGAAACTTTTGTACGATTGTTGTTGAACACTAAAATTGTATATGTATAAAAACATAACATTTACATAATATATTAAAAAAATTAATTAATACTTAAATATTACAATTAGTTATGTCTACAAAAAAATATTATACTGGCAAATGCATGCGGACCAAAAATAAAAATAAATAAATTATTATATATTTTGTTTTCCCGTTTATTTAGTTATCATATTTATATTTTTTATACAAATAACTATTATAAAATCTTAGTTAATATTTTTTATCTTCATTTTCTAATGAAATATATAATATTTTATATTTAACTTATCATTATATTTTATTATTAAATGTTTTGTATTTTATTATTAATACATAATAAATTATATATAAATAAAATATCTTTAATACTATATTAATTATAATTAAACATATAAAATATTTTATAGCCTGCACATGGTGCAGGCGGATCACCTAGTATTTAACGAAATACTCATTTGAGTCTTTAACCACTCCGGATGGTCTAAGAAACGACTTCAAGTCTTCAAGAGTCAACTAATAAATCCATTTTCAAAAAAAAAATAAAAGCTCTTGAGTCTCTCTCTGTACTTGGCCTCTCTCTGTACTTGGCCACTATGAGTGCCAATGTTTATGCACAAAACCATTGAACTTAGACATATCTTTAAGCGAAAAATCGACCATTTCTTTTTATATATGTATGGTGTAGCCGTGTAGGTCTCCAAGAGAAGAACGAAGCTTGTGAAGTTAACCGATGAATTTCCGGCGAGGTAAAACGACAATAATAGGTTTACGAGCTTCAACGGCTTTACTCATTGGTGTTGTTCTGATTCAGCTATTTGCTACTCAAATTTATGCTCAAAGACCTAGAAGTCCATGGCAGACACTCAGTGGTGAGAGTGCTCTCATTTTTTCTCTTTTTGTGCGCAAAGTTTTGCAGAAAATAGGTGAAAAACAGATGAACTAGTACTTGGACTGGACTTGTGCTTTCTTGATATATATGTGTAGTAGAAGTTGGGAGAATCATAGATATAAGCTTCCCAAATATCGAAGTCTCAATAATTAATTATGTCTTTTTAATTAAAATGTAACTTGTGATTTCTTTTTTGTTCTTTAATTAGGTGAAACTCCTCTTGTAATTGCTCGTGGTGGGTTTTCTGGATTGTTCCCAGATTCGAGTCTTGATGCCTACAATTTCGCAAAGCTGACAAGTGTACCAGGTTATGTTCTATGGTGTGATGTTCAGTTAACCTATATGCTTATAAAAACTAGCTTAACAGATTATTAAATTTTACATTTATTGATGTAATCTACTTATTAGTATGACATGAATACTCAAATGTTACTCATCTTAAATGATTAATATTTTTATTGAGTTTGAGTATACTAGCATTTATGATTTATATTTATAATTTAATGTTACTCATCTAAAATATTTAACTTAAAAAATTATGAGATATAAATCTATAATTAAAATGATTAATATTTTTTAGTATAACCCTCATACCAAAAACATTCATCTTAAATTATCAAAAAAGAAAGTCATCTAAAACTTATAATTTTTGGAGAAATATTTAAAAAAAATAACACAAAAATTTTAACAAACCAAAAATGATAATTTATGCTAATTACTGAAGAAAGCAATATAAAAAAATGTTTAACTAACAAAACCAAAACATAAATTATTTCTTACAACATGTGAATATAATTAAAATGAAAGTCCATATCGAGAAAGTTAAATTAACAAAAAAAAATAGGATATTAACTTAATATCTATGTTATTTATTTAACAAAATCAATATAAACAGAATAAGTAAGAGAATAAAAAAACTTAACTAACAAAAACAATATAAATATTTAAGCTAATTATTTAAGAAATCAATATTAAGAAATTAATTAACTAAAAAACTAAAACGAAAATTAAATTTTACAAAATACTAGGAGTTTGGCCCGCACGCATGTGTATGCATAAACAATTTTAAAAATTTAATTACATAAATATAATATCTACATCATTATAAATATTTTATTTTTTATAATATATAAAAAATTAGGTACAGCGATTCAATTATAGGACCTAATAGCACAATATGGTATAATTTTAACTAAAAATTTCATTATAACAAAATGCTTATTTTATTATGTTAAAAGGCCAAATGGGTCAGACCCGTGGATAGCTGGTTAAGCGGGTTACCTGCTGCGGATTTGTGGGTCAGGCGTACATCCTACAAATTTCATCATCTTCTTCGTCTTCAATTAATCTTCTTCGATTTAACCAGTTATTTAGCCTCTAAATTCTCGAAGACTTCTTTGTATAAAACAAATATTTGAACTAAAATAAATTAAACACAGAAAATTATTTGAACTTAAATATATTCGAACTTATCTTTGTATATTTGTTTAGCTTCTGTTTTGTGTGGACAACAAAAATGGGCTCTTTAGTTAAACATTGTTAGATTAATGTTACTTTGGATTATATAGTCAGTGCATGTGATAAAGACAATTCTCATAATTTTTATACAATTTGATGATACAATTAATGTTGCTTTGGATTATATTACGGAAAGACAATCTCAAGAAGACTGTTAAAAGTAGATAATCATACTTCCGTTAATAAAACGTGGTATACTCTAACTTCTCTTTGTATATTTGTTTAGCTTCTATTTTGTGTAGACAACAAAAATGGATTTTTTAGTTAAACATTGTTAGATTAATGTTACTTTAGATTGTATAGTCGGTGCATGTGATGAAGATATAATTTTTATACAATTTAACGTGTACAAATATGTACATGTAATTAAAAAATATAACATATGTTTTGTGCATGTGATAAAAAACGACGGTTTACAATTTATATTAATAATTAAATATTTTATATTTTTTAGTTTTCATAAAATAATTATTTGAACTAAAATAAATTAAACACATAAATTTTTTTTTTACCATGTCATAATCCATTTGTGTTAGCAAATGCCATGTCACAATTACATCATCATTACACATCATCATTTCCATGTCATATTTAATTAGGTTAGATTGATGTTTTTAATCAATGAAATTAAAACAAATCAGCATATTTCATTAAACTACATTGTCAATTAATAGGTAGAGGATTAATAATTAAATATTTTATATTTTTTAGTTTTCATAAAATAATTATTTGAACTAAAATAAATTAAACACTTAAATTTTTTTTTTTACCATATCATAATCCATAAGTGTTAGCAAATGCCATGTCATAATTACATCATCATTACACATCATCATTTTCATGTCACATTTAATTATGTTAGATTGATGTTTTTAACCAATGAAATTAAAACAAATCAGCATATTTCATTAAACTACATTGTCAATTAATAGGTAGAGGATTATCTTTAAAAAAAGATACTTAAAAATATATTGTCTTGATATCTGACTAACTACTTAAAAAATTCATATAAAAATATTTAACTAACAAAAAATTTATGACTTCAAAATATCAATATTTTAAAAACAATAGTGTGTTAAAATAAAATAAAAATCAATATCAAGAGAGATAAATTATCAAAGGAAAAAATCGTATAAAGTAAAATTAGCTTGATATTTATGCTAACTACCAAACAAATATTAACTAAAAAAAGCAAATGTTGGTATAAGGTTTTGAGAGAAGTTCACTTAAAATTTAGAATAACCAATTATAGCATGTCAAAATAGTATTTTATTTAATTTAAAAAGTAAATTTAACAAAGAAACAGCATTTATGTAAAAGATATTAGATTAATATATATGCTACCTATTTGAAAAATTAATAACAATAGAGATTAATTAAAAATATATATGTTTTAAGTATATCAAACCTGCAGAAAATTAGATAATTAAAATAAAATAAAAAATTACCATCGAAGTTATTTAAAATAACAAAAAAACAAGATCTAAGAAGAAAATTAGTTTGAAATATAGTTCCAAAAACATTCATGATTTGTAAAATATTGTTGTTGACTATGAATAACCATATAAAGTTTTAATAGTTTATACAAGTTTCTAAATCAAACATATTATTTAATTTTACAAAGATTAATACTTTGGTTGCATCGGGTTGAAAAATTAACAAAGTAAAATACTACACAAGTAACTTTACATTCAAAATATAATAAGTAATAAAGTCTGATTTGTATACATATTTACTGCTTATAACTTAGCCAACATGAACAACACATGAGCAACATCCTCTAAAATTTTATTTAAATAATATAATATGACAAAGTTATGAATCAAATTCAAATGGAAATATATGAAGATAAAATATTCAAATCAAAACATGAATAAACACACAAAAGATATATATAAAAAAAAAATGATAATGTGAAGTCTTAACATCATCTTACATGTTTAAAAACATATATTAGCAAATAGTTGACTGCAAATAAAATATATCTTATAAACTGAAAAGAGTTATAACCTAAAATTCATAGAAGATCTGGTGGAGAAGCAAAAAGCAGTTTTACACGATTAGTGTAGTTTACTAACAAAAGTAAATCTGCATCAATATATATCATATATTATATATGTATATGTACATAATATTAGTGAGACATTTAGTAAAGAAACTAAATATTTAAACATATAAACCTTTTAAAAAAAAGAACCATAGAAATTCTAAGGATACAAAACAAAACACCAAAAGTTTAGTAAGAAAATCATTTTCTAAATCAAATATGCACATCGAAATTGGATAATTCGTTAGATGTCATTACTATGATTTTACTTAATAAGATTTATAATTTTCTAAACAAAATAGGAAATACTACATATTATGTTTTAATTTTTTTTATATAAAAGAAAATTTCTATAAATATATTATAGTATTGATAATTTAGAAGATATTAGCCAAAAAATTAAACCAAATTATTTATACAGACTCGTGCGTAATACGAGTTAAAAGCCTAGTCTGTTATATAAAGACTGGGTTGTGTCTTACAAGAGAATGACACCTCAACACCCTTCTCTGTGACAAATCATCATCAAAAAATTAAAAAATAAAAATACAATAAAAAACTTTCGTGACACATCAGCCAAAAAAAAAGTTTTGTGAAATTACCAATTACTTTAGTCAAACCAAAAAAAGTTTACGTGGAAGTGTCTCTTCCCTCAATTCAATGATTCTTATATTTTCTATGAAAAATTCGTTGAATTGAAACCCAAAAACTTGTACTTACAAATGTACTACAAAATTGAGAGAGAGATGAAGAAGGAGACGACGAGCATAGATGAATCGATCAAAGAGCAAGTTTGACGGCAACAGCACTTTAGCCGGTGGCGGTTTCATGCCTTCACAGACAACTACACAATTGCCTGACTTCGCATCGTCCTCCAAGGTTTGGCCTCTCTAATCTTCTTCGCCATCGAGGAATTTGATAAATCCTTTCGCATTTTTGTGCTATTGAAAATCTATCTATCGGCGTATTCAGATTCTACCGAAATACATAAAATTGCAAAAAAATTTCTTTGGTCTCAGAAACACCCAGAATCGAAGGGTCACTCTTTTCGTCTTTCCTCAACCTCTTTTCATCGGTAATGGTCGATAATGGTAAATACACGTTCAATCTCTGCTAAGTTGTTCATGTCGTTGCTTCTTTTCGATTTCCCTGTTTTCTCACTTTCTTTTTGTTGGGTGACAATTGATGAAGGTTCTCTAGATCAGTTCTTGGCTGCCACCATTGATGCCGCTCAAAAAGCTGGACAAGTCTCTCTCTCTTTTATTTCTCAATATGTTCTTGAGCTTGATCGATTGAGTAAGTTAATCATAATTAATCTGGATCCTTTGGTTTTCATTGTGCAGGTCATTCGTAAAGGGTTCTACGAGACCAAACATGTTGAACACAAAGACCAGGTTTTTGAAATCCGCTGTTAAATCTTTGGCCTTGCACTGACCATATGAGAATTTCGAATTTGAATTAGTTCAGAGGAAAAGAAACTACTGCTGCAAACGGAGTGACAGAACTAACAGACGAACCAACTTGAATTGTTGATCCTCTTGATGGAACTACGAATTTCGTTCACAGGTATATAGATATGTACATGTTGTTGCTCAATTCCCATTTGAATGACTATGTGTTTTGTTTCACTGAAAGCAAATTTCAGATAAATTCATGACAAATGAAGATCATAAGACAAGAAGCTTCTCATCGCGGCTGAAATAGTAAACAATAAGAGTCCCAAGATTGGCATGACTCATTGATCCTAAAACCTGCAATCTCTCTCTGAACTGACATTAAGCCTACACAATGTTCTCACTTTATCGCTTCTCAACAAAAAAGCAAATCTCTCATTTATGGTTGTTTATCGCAATTTCAAACAGGTATATGCAACTGTCGGCAAACCCGTGTCAATTTTAGGGAGACTATCACTCAGCGAGCTGAGTTTGATTATTTACATAAGAAGCAGAGTGGAGGAGCGGGTCAGTACGGTAGGGTTACCGGGTGAGTATCTGAAAACTGATAGACTCTAAATGATGTTATTGGGGGATCCCTTCTAAACCAATCCTAACGAAGTCTGCTTAAACTTTTATGAGTGTTAGCTACTTGGAACAGTTACCGCTGGACTTTAAAGAGAAGTTTGAATTCGAAAACATGATCGTTGGACAAGCGATTCCGTCTGGTTTTATTCCAGCAATTGAGAAAGGTTTCAAAGAAGCTGCAAACTCGTGAGTGTTCTTTTATCTCTTTGGCCTTTTGGAAGCTCCTCTTGTGTTGTCACTGATTGTGTAAAATCTTATCTGATTCCATTGCAGGGGCTCACTAATTGGTCACCCTGTAGAGAATCTCATAATAGTATTGACAAATGGAGCTTCACATGCCGTAGATTCCGGTGAACTTGCGTTTAAAATGGCTGCAATATACGCGTTCAGGCTTTGTTACACAGCGGCAAGATCGGTGATTCTAGAGCCTGTCATGTTGGCTGAGTTGAAAGTACCAACAGATTTTCAGGGTACTCTTGCTGGTGGCATCAACAAGTAAGATCATAGACCCTAAAAGCCCCTAACAGTAACTTTCCTTCCTGATTCGTCCAGAAAATTTTCTCGCTAGATTCCCTTTGGTCGGTGAGTTATCTTCGATCTCTTGTTTCATTTCCAGTATTAGATGAGCACTAGATCGACGAGGTTGTTTGATTGCTAGGGCTAATCTTGTAGAAACTGAGCTTTTAAATTGATTTTGTTTCTCTTCATAATGATTGATTTGGGATTTCAAATTGTAGCGAGGTTTAGGTTGCTGCTAAGGTCTAGCTCGAAGCATGTATTTTTATTTTTATCTTTTGTTGATTGAAATTTATAATTATGGTTGATTACTGCTTGTGAAATTCAGAGGGTTTCATTGTCAATGCAGGAGGAAAATTGAAGATCTGGTCACAAGCAAGAGCTAAAGGGATGGGCGAAAGTAATTTATCTTCTTGCCTCTCTTACCAACAAATAATTTGGTTCTTCAACTCTACAAATTTGTTCTTTTTTTTGTTAGGTTTAGTGGAATTCGTAATCAATGAGCATCATACATATCTAGGAACAGAGTAGTTTTGTTTCTTTCTGCAAATTATATTTTTTTTTTCAAGTTTGAAGTTGTGATTTGGTATGCACAAATAACATTTCGCTGAAGTGAGATTGAGATGAACGTTGTCTTGCCCTGTCTATGATGTTTGGTTGCGATCTACTGCAAAGTTCTTAGAGAAGGAGATATACATCTAATTATCTGTTTGCTTTTCGGCTATTTTTGGATTTATACTTCATTCATACATGTACAACTAAATATTGCATCGTTGATCACTGCAGATACTAAACCTGTATCCGGAAATGTTAGAACCGAGCTGGTAAAATTCATTGCTGATAGGCATGCCAATCTCATGAAACCAGCTGCTCGATATTATTCTACACTTAAAGGTAAGTACTACAATCTATTACACCATCTTAGTGCCTGATCTTCTCAGTGTAGAAGTCCTGCAGTTTTATGTTTACCCTTAATTGTTATAGATAAGATGTGTGATATATGAAGCATCCATGTGCTTCTTCCTGGTTCTAACTATGAACTAAGAAACACTTGTCTCTGTTTCCGTAGATGCTATAAGTGGGAAAAGAAGATATACGCTTGTAAAAGATGCAGCAGACATGGAAACAGGAGTATATGGCAAACATCTTCCATGCTTTGGTTGTGGAATCGGGTGGTTCTCGTGAGTATTGTTCTCCTGTTAATTTCTTAAGACCAATCCTGATTTGATCTTTCACTTAACCTTCTGATTTCTTTTCTTGTAATATCACACTTTTGTGGTGCTATACTACATTTCTTCACTTTCCATTTCCATATGTTATCTAAAGGTTATCAAATTCTAATTTATGTCAAGCAATTAATTGCTTTTGTTCAGCCTATAACAGAATATGTTTTAATAAAATTAGGAATAAGATTACAAAAAATCTATGCCTCCAAATTAGAAATCATTGGAGTGTAGAACCAAACTTGGAAGCAAATGAAAAGCATGTCATATTATGAAGACAAAAATGTCAGGTTTTCTATACTTCTATTAATTTTAGTGTATGTGTCAATGAATTATTTAACAATAATAACATATTGGTTGACATTTGTTTTAAAACTAAGATTTTTAATTTTTTACATATTTTTTTGTAAACTGTCGAGTTTAGGTGACATCAAACAATTTTTATAATTTTTTAAGTGATCATTTTTTCTTTTTAGTATTATAATCAGTTGCTGATTTATTTTGCAAACTAGAAATTTTGATTTTTGTTGTTGTAAATTTAAGTTATTTATTTTTAGTACAAAATTATAAAAATAGTGTTCTTCTTTTTTATAAGTTCAAAACAAAGAAATTTAAAGAAAACTTTACTATGAATTTTATTTTTAAAAATAACATTTAAAACTATAAACGAAAAGAGTATATATATATTAGTTTTAATAATATTTATATAGTTAATAATTTTAAAATTATTCTATCAATATATTTAAAATAAAATGATATACTAACTACAAATCTAAAAATATATAATAAAATGTAATTCCTCGTCTATACTTTATATATATATCTCATATCTTATTAATTTATGTAGTTTTATAATTGAAACATATGCAGTGGATGAATATAGTAAATTATTATCAACTTTATTTTATATATAATATTTGTTTTATCTATTTGTTTTCATTTTTGCAACCAATAAATTTAAATTTCCAGTTTTGGCAATCAATAAATTTAAATTTCCAGTTTTGGCAATCAATAAATTCAAAATTAATACAAAAGTTTGTAAAACAAAATTAAATAATATAGATAAGTGATCATCAAAATTCAGATGATACTAATATTGATTAAACACAACTTAAAAAAATTTTAGGGTATTAAAAAAAAAATTTTGTAACCAAAATTTTGAATTAAAAAGTGAAAACTAATAAAAACAAAGAAATTTAATATATAAAATAATATTTAAAATTACAAGGGAAACAGTATTTATATTAATTTTAACAATATTTGTAAATTTAATAATTTTAAAAATATTTTATCACTAAATTTAAAATAAAATACCATGTTATCAATAACTCTAAAAATATATAAAACGTGATCCCGCGTGTACACGTAGGTCATCACTTAGTATTTCACTAACAAGTGAGTCTACACAACATTCAAGATTTGTTTTTAATGTTTTCATGTAGTAACTTTTGAAAATGAATTATTTTATCAAGTGATTTTTTTGTCTAGTGGTTTCAACAATTATCTTATCAAGTGGCTTTTGGTTTAATGGTTTCTTTAACAGAAAAGGTTTCTTGTTCAAATCTACTTAAAATGGGGTATTCCCACACATAATAGACCAGAGACCGACTCCTGGTCCTCGGAAATAAAAATATAGATCCAAACTTTAAAGTTATAAAAAAAAATAACCATCCTATATATAATTTAACATAAAAGTAAAAATAAATCATATGGGCAGTTAAACCTCTCATGTGAACAGATACAGTAAAAGTACTGAATTAAAATGAAACAAGATTAAAAACAATTATTTATTAAAACAAAAAGTAATTTAACAAAGATCATAACAATGTTTCCGACTACAACATATAAGAAAATATGGTAAGGAGAGAAAATGTTTTAAAGAACAGAAAAATGTGGAAATGAGAACTTGGTTTACAAATGAAACTAAAACCTCTTTTACAAGGGGTTAATGATGCATTTCAAAAATAAAAATAAACTATTGGCATCTTTAGGTAATATCATTCACAAAATTTGTCTCTAATAAACTATAATAGTAAAAGTGTGTCTCCACCAAATGGACTTTGATTTTTATGACAACAAAGATAACACTTAATCTTTTCTGTTTGGTTTTATAATGAAATAACTAAAAAATCAAGGGCTAGGCAAATCCGAAATATGTCTTCGGTGATTTATGCAGCTGTTAACTTCATTATTACTTTAGTGTCAGGCTAACTGATGTGTGTCTGAAATCACTGTTGTGTGGGTCATTTGCTGTAGTTACGTTTTCAGAATTTCGCTTTTTAATGGTTAGGCGTCGTTTGAACTATTAAATTTTTTTTTTTAATTTTATTATATCTACTTTTGCTGTAGTTATGTTTTTCAATTTGCTGTTAATCATGGAATCCGTGGGTCATTTGCTGTAGTTATGTTTTTCAATTTTATTATATCTACTTTTGTTTCCTTATGCTATCCTAGCCAAGTAGCCATGAACGTAATAAGGAGGGAAAGAGAAGTTATTAGTACCAGCACACATACTTAACCAATCACCGGAAACACACATTTTAACAAAAACATAAACCATGTATCCTTTATATATATATATTTCATAAAACAGTGATTTAAAACTTGTAAAAGAGGTTTTAGTTTCATTTGAAGATCAAAATTCTGAAAGTTTCATTTGAAGATCAAAAAAACACATGAAGATCAAAATTCTGAAAGTTTGTAATTCTGAATGTTTTAAAGACTAAGACTCGAAATTTTCAGAATTTTGATCTTCATGTGTTGAGTTTCGAGTCTTAGTCTTACCACCTTGCTTCACCATCACAATTTCAAATGAGTTCGTTTAACAGAAATCAACATTTAAATCAACTAATGAGTGAATTTAAACTAGAAATTGGAAGAAATTGCGAAAATCAAAGAGATGAGCAAGAGCATTAAATGAAGTGCTATATACCATATTAGCAAAACAGATTTGGTTTAAAACGCTGTAAAAGTTTCTTTTGTTTCTTATCGAAGAAGAAGATATTACAATTGGTATATTTACATTTGACTAAACCAAAAGAAACATTATAATTAGACTACATTAAATGTGACTTTAACCAATCTATACAATCTAAATAATTACTTGCTTTTGAATTAGTAAGTGTAAAAGCTCAATTCTGAAGTCACTTGCTCAGGCTGTGATGCCCGATTATCACCTGCTGCGACGAAAATATCTATTATATATTATAGATGTCGAAAAGTACTAATGTCACGACCAATAGAAAGTTTACTCTGAAAATAGATTCTTATAAAAGAATTATGGAATTAACATAAACAACCTAAATCATATTACATATCTTAAGAGGACGAAAATATGAACTACGATATGGCATGAATGGTTTATTTTAAGTTACGCCTAACTGTTTTAAGCCGAAGCTTTGGTTTCCTACATTAGCTTCAAGTTGTTTATACAAAAGATATCAATATGTTTAGTTTGAGAGGATAAATTAATTTTTGAAATTAAAAAATAAAATGATAAAGAGAATACTTCATCAAAATTTGAATAATCGTTTATAGACTAGTAAAAATTCTTTGTATAGTCATGGATTAATCACACGGATTCCATGATTAACTAAAATAATCTAAAAAATCATAAAAAACCACAAAAATACAAAAAACCTATATAATCATGGAAAATATCATATAGCCACAAACTAAACATATTGATATATGATTCATAGTTGCACATATCATAACTTATTTTTTCATGGCTATATAAATATTTTCTTAACTTTTTGTTATTTTATTGTGATTTTTTCATGAGTAATTTATTATAATTATACAAAATGGATAATTTTTATAATGATTCTTTTGATAATTTTATTATGAAACATGACTCTTTCTAAAATGAGAGAAATCGACCAATTCCGACCTCAACACTTGGTCGCGGTCCCATTCTATTCCTATACTTTGAACTTATGCAAATTCATACTTGAATTTTTAAATATATTTAAATTACAAACCAAAACAATTAAAAAGCAGTCAATACATACTTTGACTACAGATCCTTTAGTCAATCATAACCGAAGGATGATCTGTCCGTTATGCAAGCTGATGTAGCTAAACAGTTATGTACAAATCAAAATCCAGATTTCTTGTAACACCAATACGACGTCATTTTGGATAACTAAATTATCAATTTTTGTTTTTTAGCAAAACGATGTTCTTTCAATTGGTTACCCAAATAAAACATAAGTCTTCTTTTTCTTCTTTGACTCTCTATAATACATTATCGAGAGCGTTTAAGAGAGAGTAGAAAGTACAAAAAAATGTTGGGTGATTGCTAAAATCATGAAATTAAACAAACATAGGTTTATTTGGAGGTTCAATCAACCGTTTGTTGTGGTGGAAGTCCTTCACATCAAGAAAATGAGGTAACGATATTTCAAGTTTTTAGCAAGAATAGATTGAAAGAGTGGATTTCGAGTATATGATTTATTGAATTCGAGTAGGAATGTTGAATTCGAGTAGAACTATTGAACATATTGATGAATTAAGATGATGGAAATATATTTACTGTAGATCTTGTTGAATAAATAGAAAATATTTAGAACACACAATAAGTGTTCAATTAAATGCCTAAGTGAAATATTTTTTGTTATTTTCTAGAATAGATGTTCTTCTTGTATTACTTTATTTAAAATAATGACATTTCCTCTATTATAAACTATGATGAGACTTTAGATGAAAAAATCTATTAGCTTCTGATGTAAGCATCAATGCTTATATCAAGAAGAAACACAAAGGAGAGGAGCTAGAACCTGTTTTGCTTGAATATAAGGAGCAAAGAAGACATGTAGCTGTTTTCAAAGGAGCTAAGGACTTAACAACAAAACACTGTCGTTCTATGCATCAAGGAGGACGTTCTGATCAAGCTAAACCATGGCTGGGCCAGTTTAATTCACAAGAAGACCAAGCCAAACCACCAGAACCACCAAATCACATGAATGGACCAACATTCATGTTTTCAAGACCATTTAAGGAAACTTCCACCATATCTTATATCACCACGCTTCATTTACATTCATTGGCATGTTATGAAGATACCAAGAGCTCTAAACCACCATACCAAGCCAATAACCAAGTCAAAATATTCCAAACCGAAAAAGATATCACCATGAAGACAGTTTCCTTTTCTAAGCATGTTAACTTTACTCCAAAGGGAAACTATGAC